TCCATAAGCGGAGAAAGAAAAAAGCAGAAGAAAAATCATAAAAAATCGGAAGAAATCAGATAAAAATAAAAACTTCAAGAGAAGTAGATCGACGACAGGCGAACCCGTTGACCTATAACTCGAAGTGATCGGGAGATAAAAACTTCAAGAGAAGTAGATCGACGACAGGCGAACCCGTTGACCTATAACTCGAAGTGATCGGGAGATGGAACTCCTCCTCTGTGACTTTTCAATACAGGCGAACCCGTTGACCTATAACTCGAAGTGATCGGGAGATGGAACTCCTCCTCTGTGACTTTTCAATGGTTTCTAGAGTTTTTGGCGATAGAGACTTGCTATCTTTGATAAGTTTTGGTCTGTGAAGATTATAAATATTCAGTTGATATGATTTTTTGTTATCTAGCTTATTTTTTTTCTTTTTTAATCATATTTTTGTTATTTTTCTTGAAAGCGAGAAGAATTACAAGTTATCCATGGGAAAGAGACTGTCATCTGAGGGTGATATTATCTCTGGTATTTATCTCAGCTTCTTACCTATCTTTATCTTTTCCTTTTCCTTATTTTTTCTGATTTTTTCTTCTTTCTGTTAGAGAGAAGAATTTATTTACGGAGATCCATGCGCTGATCTTTCAAGTATTTACCTTCTTAGATTTATAGAAATTATTCTAACTGATTCCCTGTTATGTAACTTTTTTTTATTTGAAGTTTTTAAGTAGAGATTTATGGGCAGTAGAGACTTCAGTTGATTGAAGCTTAGCACCTAAGGTATTTATTTTCTTAAATCTATGAATATTTATAAATTTTGTGGCAAACTCTATTCATTTTTTGAAAAAGTTGAATCCTATATATAATGAATCTAAAAAATAAATTGAAAGAACAACTCTAATTTATTTAAAATTTATTTCAGTAGTCTAATCTTTTTTGACATATTAGTGCGAAATTTATTATCGCTACAAAAGAGATGATTAACTAGTTGATAATTGATTATGTTTTATGAAAAACATTTCATGTTCATTTTCCTTTCAAAAAAGAAGACATATAAATAGAAAAAAGACAAAGTTATAAGCTTAGATAAGGGGTTCATTTTCCTTTCAAAAAAGAAGACATATAAATAGAAAAAAGACAAAGTTATAAGCTTAGATAAGGGGTTTGCCTTTAACTAGCCAGAATATAGAGTGATATAATATTTTTCTTCAAAGAAAATGGAGAGGAACAAGAGAAGTCTTAGCATATATAACTATAACTGTTACTCGCCGAACTGTAGGAAACAAAATATCATCATGCCTGGATAATTAAAAATTGAACTGATGGCGGAACTCATAAATACAGTATTTTCCTGCCAATCTAATAAAGAAATGCTTGAATCTGAAGTTTACAACATGGAAATCAACCTGATGGGTCCAAGCAGCTTCAACTAAATGTGTGCCATACTCCTCAAGCATTTCACACAATATTAAAAAGACCTTTCATCTTTCTTGACTACTCAAATACCCATCATGACACATGAGATGTGCACGTTAGAAGATTTTAAAATATTTTTTTCCACAGATTCATGTGAAAGATTCCACATGATTTGTTTACTATTTGATTGGTAAAAGTAAAATTAATTACCAATCATACCTTTAAAATTGGAATTCTCAATACTGAACAATTGCATTTAAAATATTGGAAAATTAATTACCAATCATACCTTTAAAATTGGAATTCTCAATACTGAACAATTGCATTTAAAATATTGGCACGCATGAACCACCATAGGTCTGTCCCTCAGAACTAAGATCAAATTATCTTGTTTACCACCATTTTGTTTGACCACGCAAGCTAAGGAATATGACCTGAAAGGATTGGAACACACTTTCAATTTCTTGTAGAATTCATTGCTGGTGTTTTTTCACACTTGGACCAATACGAGTTTGCCCCTGAGGACAAGTCTCAAATTATCTCATGACCATTATTTTGTTGGTGCTTCAGCTGTTTGGAAAGTTGCTTAGGGATTTTAGTGCATGCTTCGTCCAAATTTGTTATTTTGTTGGTGCTTCAGCTGTTTGGAAAGTTGCTTAGGGATTTTAGTGCATGCTTCGTCCAAATTTGTTGTGGTGAAGGTAGAAATGTATTATTTTAAGTTGCTTAGGGATTTTAGTGCATGCTTCGTCCAAATTTGTTGTGGTGAAGGTAGAAATGTATTATTTTGGAGGACCTATAATCTAGCCGTGGCTTTCCCTTTTTCCATGAGTTGTCCAAGGACCAACCTGCTTTAGAGGTTTCTCGGTTACACTATAGATGTGCTAGAGATTGCATATCCCCCCCCTAATTCTTGTTGGTGGTCTAAAGCTTCTAGGAGTTTTTTTTGAAGATTCCTTTTTTATAAATTTGTGAATGATGTTGAGTTTATACTCCTCAGAATACAATTTTTCAAAGAATGCTGCTTCTCAAATTAAACTCTTAAATGCTGACAATCTCAGGAACAAGAATGTTATTTGCACCAACCTTGTGCTTCTTGTGATAAATATTAGAAGTGGCTTTCTCTTAAAATGATTTCAGATTTGTGCTACCATTGTCAATATGTTTCTTGTAATCAATAAATGGTCTTCTTGGAGAAATATAGGAATTAGAAGATGAATCAGATACATGAAACAATATTGGATTAAAGTCATCTAGCGAAAAATAATAATAAAGCTATATCTAGCGACTTACAAGACTGTTGTTCAAGAAAAGTTAAAGGGCCAGGGCAAATGTTTTAAATATATGAGCTATGAGTATATCAGGAAAACTGTTGAGGCACATTTTGACAAGTTGCTAAATTAAGGAGGTACTTATCCTGTCTTCTAGAATAGGTTCTAACTTTCCCTCTCCTTTGGGAGAAGTCAGCTTTTTATATTCTATTCAACTTCTTATTAACCTGGATATATGTTCCTTTATGTTTCCCAGTTCATTTATTATTTTCCTCTCTATAAATTTATTCATGCAGTTTGTGTTTGATGATCTAAAAACTGCTCTATAAGAAGCTAGAGAGGTATGCAATCTTGTTTTCTTTTTATTTTCTTTTTACCGTTAAAATTAACCTGGTTTGTTATTCCCACATCCATTATTTTTACTTGCCTGAATCTCTAAGAAATTTTCCAAATGAACAAAGTGTAAAATATCATGCTTTGGATACAACGTGTATTTCTTAACTGCAAATGGTAGACATGGACATGGTAGATAGACTTTATGGATGAGGTGTGCCTATCCAAATATTGTTCTTGATGACTCCCATTCATTGACCCAACTGCATAGAGGCTGTTTCCAATACTTGAACTGGTGACCTCCCGGTCACGAGGCAGCTACCTTACCATTGAGCCAACACTCACCCTTTTCAGATCATACCAATATGGTATTGTAATATTCATCTAAATCTGATACATCGAACCACATTCCATTCCAGAGAGGTAGGAATTTGACATTCCACAAACCATAATAACCTGAGGCCTTGAGGGTCTAATTCTAACCAGAGTGTATATTTTGCCTAGATCAATTTAATCTTTATACTACTACTTAGTATTTTTCAAAGTTTATGCAGCTTGATATCAGCTTCTGGCAACCGTTCAATTGAAATAATTTGAGTGTCTGACCTCTTTTGAAGAGCCTTTTTATGAACCAATATGGTTGCATAAAAATTTGTGACAGACAATTTTGTATTCTGAACATGGGGCTCCTTTCTCAATAACATTTTCTTTGGTTGGTTGAACTGCAATTACATTCTTGATGGCGCTTATGCTTAACATGGTAAAACTTTATGGGATTTTGGATTCCTGTTGAGGACCGGTTGCATACGTCTAAAGGATTTCTTTTGTTTGTGGTTATATTATTGGTGATCTAAATTATTTTCAAGTTTTAATTGTACTTTTTAAGCTTTGAAATGTCAGGCAGAATGCAGGATATTTCTATCCATTGTAATATTATTGAATCTTGTTCTAGATCACTAATGAGCTTGGAGATATTTATGACTATGTCGTTCATTGTTTTCCTCCAAGGTTTGTAAAATCAAGAATCTTTAATTCACATGGTCTATTTGAGATACATCAATTTCTTTCCTCTGCTGTAAAATAACGTTCAATTTGCATTACCTAAGAAATATTCAAGGTTGAAATAATAGGTTTCTAAATATAGTCTTCACAGATTTGTATATTTTTGTATGAATTAGAATCATCATATTGGTTGCTTTTGCTTGTTTCATGTTAGTGAAAATTAAAATTCTTCAATGATATTCAAGGGATTGATATTTTACGTACGACTTGTTCTTTGTTAAATTCTCCGTGTGAAATGAAGTGTTATCATTAACTAAAAACCTATTATGGCTCCATTCCACCTCTTTGGGGTTGTATCGTTTTGGAAAGTATTGTTCACAATTGTAAGTTTACAGTTGGTAGATGCATGTCTCATCACTTGTATATTGATAATTATCACATGACATCAGGTACATTCCAAAAAATAAGATACAACTCCCATGTAGGCTAAAATCACCTGCATGGGACACACAAAAATTACTAAGTATCCAAAAAAATGGAACTAATACCTCATTTCCACTTTTTTTTTGTTTCTTGGCTCTTTTAAATAAGGGTTGACCTTCTGGTACTTCAGGATAGCCCACACCAAGTGCCTAAAAGAGAAATCAGTCCATAGAATAAAATTACTCAGACGAGTCTTTCCTAAAGTCCTAATCACAATATCATATCATGACAAACTGTCGTATATACATGATGCCCCAAATCGGCTACTGTAACCAAATTTTTAATAATTTCATAACCATTACCATTCCTTTTTTGTATCTTATTGATCTTTTTTGTACATGATTTTTCAATGGCATGCATGATCTCATGTGTAGAGGTGTAGGCAACACATGTTATATATCACATTTGATGTGTTAGCGGAGAGTCTTCCTGTTTTATATCACATGTTATGTATTACGTAGATGACCTTCATCTTCAAAAAGAATCAAATTTGTGATTAGAAGGGTTGTAATGACATCTCAGTTGATGTGTCATCTTTTCGATGGTCATAGTGGTACCAAAGCTGCTATATTGTTGCTAACAATTTAGGGAAAAACATTATAACTGAAATGAAGAGAAAAGATGAAGACATAGAAAAGACGGTTGCTAATGGGTATATGGAGGCTGATGCAGAGTTCCTTAAAGAAGAAGCTGTAAGTGGATCTTGCTGTGTCACTGCTCTCATTAATAAGGGTGATCTTATTATGTCAAATGCTGGTGATTGTCGGGCTGTCTTGAGCATTTCGGGTGCCGCTGAGGCACTTACTTCGGATCATCGGCCATCGAGGGAGGATGAAAGGGAGAGAATTGAGAACCTCGTAAGTAACTTACTCATTGCACATTGAAAATAATTTTTTCTGTAATGCGTATGTTTTTTCATTGAACATAATTGTTTTTGGTAAATGAGAAATAAGTAGGTCAGTTCTTTAAGTCTACATATTTCATTCCTTGTTGAAATAGAAAAGCTTCTTGTTAAACGTGTGTTTTTCTTAGTTTTGAATTTTTTGATAGTTGAGAAGGAATAAAAACTTAGTATGTAATTTGAATTACGTATAAGTTTTTTTGTTTAATTTGACGAGTCTATTTGCTAATGTGAATGCTTGTGGCAACAAAACTATTTGTTACATGTTTGTGTGCCTTTGGTTTTGGTTTTTTAGAAGTTTAGAAATTGAAAACATCACCAATAATTTTCACCGTAGGTTTAGTATCACTTTTTATTAAATTTGATGAGTTTATCTGTTAATGTGCATGCTTTATTGAAATAGAAAATTTGTTTGAATAGGACATTTGCGTTCGGTTGGTTTAACTCTGTAAAAGTTCAAAAAGAGGAAAGAGTAAATATAATTACAATATGGGTTATGTATCATTTTCTGATGTAAACTTGATGGTTATTAAAGCTATATGTCCTCTATGCAGAGTGGCTATATTGATTTTTGCCAAGGATTATGGAGATTGCAAGGCACACTAGCCGTTTCAAGGGGAATTGAAGACTCTCATTTGAAACAATTTGTCATACAGGACCCAGAAACAAGAATGCTTCCAATTAAACCCGAATTCGAGTTTTTGATTCTCGCCTGTGATGGGTTGTGGGATAAGGAAGGTGAGTTTCAGGTTTAACTTGTCTTATTGTTGTGTTATCCTCTATATAGGCAGCGATCAGAGATATGACATTGTTTATTCTTTAACTTTATAGGTTAGCAATAAGGAGGCTTTAGATATAGCTCGACCCTTCTACACAGGCACTCATTGTTCATCACCACTCTCTGCTTGTAAAAAGCTTGCTGATCCCTTTGCTAATCGAGGCACTGTTGATGATATTAGTATGATGATAATTCAGTTGAAGCGTTTCGTTTTAAGGTCGTTTGAAGGGGTTAGTTTTCACTTATTGTGTACATACTCCAGTTTGAATGTGTTGATTTCATTTGCTTTCTGTGTTTGCATATGTTTTGAGTATCCAATAGTATTTCGAGATTTGCAGCCAAGGGTGTTCACCTATTTGTGTTTGGATGTGTTGACATTCTTTGATTATTTGATGATTGTTCTCCCATAATCCTCGGGAATATTCATCTATTGTTTATATTTCATATCCCATGCCCTTAGAAAGTTACTCATCGACCTTATTAATAATGTTTGATCATACAAAGTTTAATAAGTGTTTTGCAATGTATATGAGATTGTGAAATTTTCATGCGTGAATATATATACCCACACATTAAATATTGCAAAGGCTTAGTCAAGCTTTGAATGCCATGAGCTTGGAGTTACATCCACAGCATCAAACATTACTATTAGGTATATCATTGTGACTGTATTTGATTGATCAATCACGTAATAGATGCAACCAGTGTACTATCTCCCAATCAATCAATAAATGTAATTTCATTGTTTAAATGTTGAATGTTTAGATTATGTCTATATGTTTGACCCATTGTTTACATTCCATAATTTAATAACAAATCTTTAACTAAATAAAATTATAAATTTTAAACAAATAATAAAAATTTACCACGTGCATTTCACGTGCAATCCAACTAGTACATATATAAGAGAGAGTATTCTTATATATACTTATATAAGAGAAAATATACTTATATATACTTATACATATATATACTTATATAAGAGAGTATACTTATATATACTTATATACTAAGAGAGAGTATATATATACACACATATGACATATTATACATATATAGAAATATGTTATATATACATATATTATATATATACATATATTCATATATTATACATATTATATATATTTATATATACATATATAATATAATACATAAAAAATAAAAAAATAAAAAAACTACTATTCCGGGCCGGGCCGGGCCCGGGCCGGGCACAAAAGAGCCGGCCCGGGCCCGGCCCGGAGCCCGGACTTGGCCCGGGTTTCCGGGCCGAGGCCGGGCCGGGCCGGGCCCATGAAACCCTCTGTACTACCTCGTTTTCGTTCAGATTATTTAAAAAAAAAACTATTTGGCTCGCGGACCAACCGCGAGCCAAATAGCAATGCTCTTTTTCATCAAGACTCAGATTGTTCTCCCGGATTTTTCCATGGAACAACATAACACAATCTACTCTGCCTACATACCCTCTGATCCAGACCCGGCCCAAGGGGTAGGCGGGACAGGCGGTTGCCTAGGGCCCCCAAAAACAGGGGTCCCATCCTCTTCCTCACTTCCTACCTGCCGCTCTCCCTCAGACCCTCTCACATAAGAAAAAACGGTAAGTCTCTCTCTCTCTGACTTCAATTCTCAAATGGTGGATTTTGATGCGATTTAATCAATTCTTAATTGTTTTTGGTTATGGAAAAGAGGGATTTTGTTAGAAGTGAGGAGAGATTAATGGGATTTTGGTAATTTTGTTTTGTTCTTTTTATTTGTGGTTTTCGTTTCCTTGATGGGTTTTTTTTGGAGAAAGGTGGCATCTTTATGGGTTTTTACATTGTTATTAAGGCTTGTGTAGCTTTGGAAGAGTGGTGTAGTTTATTTTCATGGTTCCTGGAATTTGTATTCATAGTTCCTGATACTCAATTTCGTTGCCTTTGGACAAAGAAACTATGTCTCATTAAGAAAAATATAAAGGAAAAAATGGTCTTCCAGGCGAAACTAATATTTATGATCGCTGTCTATTACCAAAACAGACATATTCAACATCCATATCATAAATAATCATGCTTTCAATCTTGTTGCAAGATAAATAAGTTTTACTTGAAATGTGGATGCCTAGATTATGCCCACAACGTGTTTGAGTTAATGCCGAAAAGGAATGATTTTGCTCATGCTGCTATCATTTTTAGTTGCTGGGTTATAGTTAGTTTAAAAGCATTTATTACTCTAAAATCTCTTCTTTTTACTGAACTATTATCTGATTTATTTGCAGTACCATCCGGATGTGTGCAAGCGTGTTGTCGTGTTGATCTGAAATTTGTTTGAAGTGAAACTATTCAAATTTCAAGGTAATTTTATAACTTTATAAATTATAATTTTTGTTGATCTTATGTATTTTAGTATTTGTATATAAGTTTTTGTTGATCTGAAATTTGCGTTGTTGATTGATCATATTTTTTCAGCGTTCATCATGCTTCCTAGAAAGTATAGTTCTAGATATGAAAAAAGGAAAAAGAAACAAAAATTGGCCAGGGTGGGTAGCTTAGGAGAACTACATTGTGTTTAATCCTTGGGGTTAGTTATATCATCCCTTAGTATGTAGGCAGCCCTAAAGTTACTTGGGTGCAACACTTTATTTAAAGGGTTAGTTATATCATCCCTTAGTATGTAGGCAGCCCTAAAGTTACTTGGGTGCAACACTTTATTTAAAAAAAAATCTTGAATATAGGAGGGCCCCTTTAGTATTTTTGTTCAAGTTTTTGCCTAGGGCCCCCTAATGCTCAGGACCGGTCCGGTCTACGTGAACTATAGTTTATAAACGCCATTACTTCATCCAAAAAAAAGTATTCATGCCAAATTGTTAGTAACGTGGCCTACATGTAACCGTACGATTAAGAATCTGCGAAACTCCTCAGAATTGGATCAAGACCGATCTTATGGTCTTGTTTTGATTAGTGAAGGGGTGAATCAAAACGGAAGTAGCTTTAGGGGCTTTCTTCACCAAGAAAAAACAACGAACATTGGTCTAGTTTTTTTTTCTAAACAAAGTTCTTTCCAAAATTGGACCAGGATCCATCCTAATTTCTATGATGTTGCTAATGTTGAGCTCTGATACCACTTGTTGCGCGTGGCAGAAGCCAAACAACCGATGTGCTTCGATAAACCAAACCAATCGTCTAGAGAGAAGACCACAAACAATTCGAAAATAACGACACCAACTCAAACACAAAAGTTTAATGTGGTTCAGGAGATTGCCTACGTCTACGGGGTAAGAAGGATGAATTTCCACTATAGAGAAAGAGAGTACAAAGTAGTGATTACAAGATTACTCAACTAATTTCTCAAACAAATCTCTTACATCTCTCAAACTAAACCCTCAAATGAATTGCTCAGAAAGATCTTTCTTTTTTGTGCTCAAAATCACCTTCAAGCTATCCAATCAATCGATAGAAAACCCTAAAAAACGCGGTTGCTATTTATATCAAACAACAAACCCAATCAGTGCAGGAAACCAAGCTCAGGCCCAAAACCCCATCGCGGTCAACCGCCGCGCCAGTTGCGGTTGACCGTGGCAAACAACAGAGAACAAAAAACCACTCCCCATCGCGGTCAACCGCCGCGCCAGTTGCGGTTGACCGTGGCAAACAACAGAGAACAAAAAACCACTACAGGGTCTCGCGGTTGACCATCGCACCACTCGCAGTCGACCGTAAAAAGTCCAAAAACTTTTCTGTGTTCGTGCACGTCTGCGGTCGACCGCATCTCCACTCGCGGTTGACCGTGCAACATCCAAAATGTTTTTTCCTTTAATTTTCCTGAGCTTCGTCGCTTTCACCTCCAATTCTACAATTCTTCACATCGGTGAAGTTTTTTTCAAAACTGAGCCGACACCAACCAAATCAAATGCCCCACTTGTTGCATCCAGTACGAAGTGAAATAATTCACGACAACAGACTCAATCCGTAACAAGTCGGGAACCCAAATGAGAATGCGAACAAACTCCAAAACGTCGGTATCAACCCATCAAATCGATTGCATCATAAATGACTGTCTACGTATCCTCTTGCCAAAGGAATCAATCCTTCACGTAGTTCCCCAAAATGACCTCCAAAGGCTCTCAATCAAATAGAAAAGTTCTCAACTCTTCACCAATAAATATGCGGCTGATAGCTCTCCAAATAGTCCTAAAGTGAAACAAATTAAACACATCCACCCGAGGTGAACCAATGGCTGTATCCAAATCATATCCACCAGCTGCATTCGAATCAACCAACTCATCATCTGCACCCAAATCTAAATGATCCCCTAACTGTGTCACCTCAGCTGGAATCCCAAATGATGCAGTATGATCTGGAGTAAGTGGAGTAATCTCTACCTAATATGGAGTAGCATCACTCTCCACCTGCTGTGATACATCTAAGGTCTGTCCAAAACTCTTCACCTGATGAGAGTCAATTAGCTCCCTCATCGAAGCCTCAACCGAAGTGACACTACCAGACCAAATATCCAATAGAGTTTTACCTCCAATCACAGCAGTCAACAACCTATGACCAAGATGACCTAAATATGTCGAAGCCTCAACACCAGAATCAATGCTCGACATCAAACGCAGTGCTCCTCCAGTAAGGAACAGCTCACCAAATCTTCCATCTCATCTCGTTGTCCCAAGATTTCCTTTCCACCAAAGCGTCTCAAAATTTAATGAGCTCGGCTCAAATGCAGAAACAGGTTTCTCTTGTACCTCCCATAAAAATCAGAATGAAGTACCTTCACCTTTCTGCCAATCTCACACTTCTTCAATCTGTTGGAGACTACTAGGAATTTATCCAATCAGGATTTGGTTGCAACCCAAGCATGCCTAGAACAGTCACCAACAAAGAAAACCAAACATCTATTACCTCCCAATGATGCCTCCTTAGAAGGTCCAAACATCCGTGTGAACTCCACCTAAAAGACCCTTAGTGTGGTGAATAGAGGTGCCAAACTTCACCTCGGTTTTCTTGCTCACATCAAAGTGTCCACTGGATTTCAAATTGCAGGTCTATGCACCCATCTCCAAATTAATATTGGAATGATAAAACTCCAAATACCGTAGTCTAGTCGAATCAACAGAAGTTGCCATCTCTCCACCTATCACCAAACTTCCAATCAAATAGTACAGGTTATTCCTCCTGACGTCCTTCATCACAATCAAAGAGTCTTTCAAGATCTTGAGAACCATGTCCTCAACACGAACCTTCAGACCCTCTCT